ATGTGATAATTCTGAGCAGAACTTGTTCATGAAATTATTTCCTTGTTTATAAAAGACTTGGAACCATAAATGTACTTTCTTTTCTACCAGCTTTTTGGGTATTTATAGGACATTTTATATATTTCGTCACTTGATAGTTTGTGGTATTTTTTTATGATTGTACTTATTAGAATTCATCAAAAAAAAAGGGTTCGCTTCTTATTAAGTGAAAAAACACGAACGAAGGGGAAAATTTAAGCGAATATATATATATATATATATATATATATATATATATATATTATATATGAACTTTATAATTTTATTGTTTACATTGTTTATTTAAGTTTAATTTTCGTAGCGAATCCCGATCACCGTAGGATATCGGAGAATACCGTTATTGAATGCTTCACACCAATAACTGACGTATCTGTCGGAGAATTTGGTCATGAGATGTCTGGGCCCAATAGGGGCGGACGCACTTATTTTAGTGAGTAATACAAACTCTTAAAAAAGAAAATAGCCAATCAGAGAGTGCAAATTTTGACTATCCCAGATCAGTCCGACGTAGAATCCGAACACGTGCGAAGAAACAGCGAAATACTCAAAAACTGGTGCTTAAATCGACCTTGGACACTAATTAAAAATGTCGGGAATGAAATTTTACGCATAATGAGTGTTAATCTTTTTCCTATAGCCTTTAACATTAGGGTACCTGGCAAAGTGGTCACGGGCATGCCAGAGGTGGCGTGCCATAGTAGGCATGCCACCTCATAAATAGTTACACAAAAATAAGCAATATTATGATTGGTTGGTGTCAAGGCAGTATTATAATATATGTAGTACAAGCGAAGATGGGGCTCCACTTGCACCCCTAAGCATTACATGTGGCAATTTTGATCAAAATTCTTCACTGAGTAGTAATTTACTAATAATTATGTACTTATGCATGCTTTACTTTAATACAAATGGAATAATTGATAAAAACAAAATTCAAGTCAACAGATCAAGAAAGTGGTAAGTAGAAGTAATGTGCTAACAGAAACGGGACCAAATTATGCATAATCAAGAATATCATTCTAAATAATATTTTATATATATTACTTATGTTTTAATAATAGATACAGTACTATAAGAAACAGGCTGGTCTACAGAAAATGTAGTTTTAACTCTACACTAGCCATTACCAATTCAGCTCTAGCTGACCTCAATTCACAACCCAGCCTTTCTCCCAAAAAAATTTTCCAATTTTCATATTAGTGATAGTACTAAATATAAAATATCACATGATTATTTTGTTGTATTATGCAAATTAGAAGCCACCAGCCTGCATTAAGCTGAACAAACTCAACTGCTTATAGTGATCCCTGAACTGTCTTAGCATTATCAATATAAAAAAATTTCACAGTAATGTGATGTTGTGCATTGTGGCATACTGTATTTGGATATGCTTTTTTGACTTTATGTTATGTTTCTACCTAAGGCTTGTGGTTATATGCCTTGAAAGATCATTCCTGTATGTAAAATTTCATACTTAACATGTTTTGTTAGTGTCCAAAGACTGATTTAAATATTAATTTGGAGTTTTTTCTTTTTTTTTATTGTACAATGTTTTGTTTTGATGTTGGGATGATTACGTTACTGCAAAAGTGTTTAGACTTCTAGCAATTAAATTTTGCTAGACAATCAGATTTCAAGATAGATGCTGCATAGAAGAAACACAACAAATTAAAACAAACTAAAAAATTGGATTATAACACAATATTTTATTTATGAAACCACTTTCTGCATATTAGAATTACAATCTATTATTCATTTATCTAGATAATTATCAAATATTCATTATCTGTTATTCAAAGTATCCAATCTGAATTTATCTGAATATTCATTTACAATTAATATCTAAATAATTATCTGAATATCTGTCAGATTATCTGGATATTTTGATCTGTTTATCTGATCTGGATGATTCAGATAATCCAGATACAGATAAATAGATAATGGATTATCCAGATTGGAACTCTACTGCCATTAATAAAAAATTTTTCTTGCGAAATTTTGGTGTTAGAAAAACTTTTGCTAACCTAAATTAATAACAATACCTAACTCTAAACTAGCAGCAAAAATTTTTTTGCGAAATTTTTTAAATTTATAATGTTAGTGCTAGGCAATTATGATCTCTACAACATTAATTACATATCCTGTTTTAGTTTTACTATATTTATCAAATCAAATTCAAGTTTAATGTTAGACCAGATCATTCCAATATAAATATATATATATGCAATGCTTTTTACTATTGCTATTAATTAATGTAATCATTACTTATTTGAGTTTTTTGATATCTAACCTGTACAATCTAAATTTTTATGATATTTGACAGTATATCGTATTGCAAAAACTATTTCCTACATGCCATTTACTTGACATCACAAAGGGTGATAATCTCGCATTTTATTAGTTGTGAGTTCGTCACTTGATAATCATATGTGATCATAATTCTAAGCAAGAAAACTCTGCATATAATGAGATAATACAAATTAGTAATCATGCGTGAGAAAACTAATCTTAAAAATCAATATTACAAAAAAAATTTATGATGTAATAATTGAATAATCCAATCAACTTTCAGATTTTACCTTTAGATTATTTGAGTGCCATCAAAAGAAAACCTGGAATCAGAATTTCATCTATCAATTTGATAGATGGCTAACTGTATACAAAATATAATTGAAAGCCCAATTCCAGATTTTCTTTTGACGGCACTTATTTGTAGTATTTTAATACCATATGCATAAAGATTAGTTACGTATATACTGATGATTAAAGATAGATTTAGAAGTGATTATCAAATTATCTTTCATTGAAGTCTTCTAGCTTTTTATTTCATTATTGATTATCATTTCATCAGCCCAGTAAAACATTTAACAAAAAAAAACAAAATACTAAATTTTTTAGAGAACAAGCTTACAAACCTTGGGTGAGAAATTCAAAAGGTTAAATATTGTGCAAGTTTGATTATTTATTCCTTCTAAAATTTTTCTGAGCTATGCTCATGCTCTTGTTTTTCTTTTGCTCTGCTCTGTTTTGAAAAATTAATCAATCTTGCCAATAATGAATTACTCAAATAAATCAGTGCTAACCCATAATATCAAAAGTGTATCACACAAAATTAGTACATATGTACCAATTGTAAAACTCAATATAACCGCATTTAGAAGTGAAATTGAATATCAAAAACATCAAAAACGTAAATATTTTAAAGTAATTATTATTTAACAATATTATATTTGTTGGTTACATTTTTGATGCTGACAAGTAATTTTATAATATTAGGATATATATACCGTATGTGTGTATATGTTGTGCCTCAGATTAATGCTTGTGTCATATGTCACTTTGGCCTGAGTAAAGGTTAGAATTAGGGTCAGGATTAGGCTATAGTTTAGGCTGATCTGTTAATTCTGGTCAAATGAACATTATGCAGCTGATATTTGACGCAAGCATTAATCTGAGGCACAACATATATATATATAATTTGCTAAGTATTAGTGGCATGCCAGAGTGGCATCCTAGCGTGAATTTAAACAAATGGCATGCCACTTGCATGCAAAATATTTTAGTGTGCCAGGTACCCTATTTATCATTAAGGTCCTAACCTAAATTTTCATTCATGCACTTAGTTTATTTACAAAATCGGATTTGGTTTATATTACTCGCGCAAATAAGTAAAACCCCATAGGGGCCCATCCACCTCACGAAAATTCTACGGTATAACAATAATATCGTGATCGCGCAGATCACGATATAATTGTACCATCTATCTAATAGTACTAATTCTCCCCGAGACGGCGGGAATAAATAGTACTTATTGTCTGCTACGCTTTCAATAACTATACATCACATGTCATGTATAGGATGGGAACGGCTACGGCTATAGCCAGAGCCGATATTAGGCGAACCGAGGGGCTTAGCCAGCCGGCTAAAATTATAGCCGTTGCCAGATTTTTAATGTCCTGGTTGACAAAATAATACGTAATCACGGCATAATTCAGTAATAAATCATATCGGCAGGTCTGCATCGCCTGATAAATAGAGGAGCCGATCGTTCATAATTCTGGTAAAATTTGCAGATCATTTAGACAAATCTAAACCAACTTTAAATCTGGTAAAATGATCTGCAATTTTAACCATAATTAGGAATCTATTGAAAAATCATGATTTTTTTAAATTTTAAGCTGTGATTAGATAACTAAATAATTTTGGTAGCGGTACTAACTAAATGCCATTTTGATATGAACTTTAAAATAAGTGAGCAAAGTGAATAGTATTGGACGATATTTATTTTGGCCGATGTGAAGATCACGTGATGATTGACGAAATTTGTGTAACATAACAAATTAAAACAAACGAAAAAAAAATCACAAATTTCGTAAGAAATCGCCCTTTGCTGAGCCAAACTAGCATCAGCAGTGACAATTGTTCAACCAACATACAATTGGTTTAGATATTTGATGAAGTAATTAATTAAATAATTGATCAGCTATAGCCGTCAATTTAGCCGCGGCTAGCCGGTAACAGCCAGCCGATAGCCAGCTGTAGCCAGCCGTTCCCATCCCTAGTCATGTAATAATTATAAGAAATGTAAAATCAACAATTTTATCTAAGACCTTATATGGATTCAATAATCTAAACTTATAAAAGACTTAATTTCTAACCATATCAATTTTGAATAGTGCTATCAAAAATGAATCACATCAGACAAAACTACATAGAGTATTACTTTTACTTTTTTTGCTTGATCACTATTATGTAAAATAATCTCGTAGGGTAAATAAACAAGTTGTACTATTATTTTTTTTGTGATATAATACAACATTCATTCAATTTGAACCTTCTCAAATTGTAGTTAAACGAAATTATAATTTATGTGGATTAATAAAAATTAAAGCATTGAAAAAAAAATAATTGATGCTCGGATCACCACACTTAATGATTCCCAGTAATAAGAAAATGATAATTTATACTAGTTCACCTGCGGAATTAACAAGAAATAAATTACTCTCTTCATTAATATTTTCATATTGTGTCATAAAGGCAATATTTCCTATAGCTCCAGTGAGTATACCATTTAAACCTACATCAAAAATTTCTTCAGGATTATCACCAGCATCATTAGGACTAAAATATGAAAATACGGGTCCTCCAACATCTCTATTATCACTTGTAATTCGTATAGCATATAATTCTTTATACCCGTCAATAGCATCAAAAAACATCGCATCAAGCGATCTTATGTAACCGCAAGTAGTATGTGTGCCGTAGCCAGATTTACATAAATGAGCACCAACGTCAGTTACAGACAAATCGTTAAGTATAAAAAGCTGTGGATGATAAATAGAATCAGTATTCCTTATAGACGCCTCTGGATTGAGATTGCCTATTTCGAGGACACCAAAATCAATTCGCCTATTAGCATGTCCCTTTCTTGTCATTATTCCAATATTATTCTGTACGTTTTGTGAATTCCACGGTAAACGATGATAAGGTTGGTTATATCGATAACAACGTCCTGAGGTTATAAAGAAACCCTGATTTTCATCCTCTGTTTTTGCAAAGTAACCTAGTGAACACGTTAAATGATGATTTAAATTATGGATACCTTCACCAGCTATAATAGGGAAATTTATCAGATGATTGTTATCAGGAGGTTGGCGTTTCACATGTACGTTATGTATATCTCCATATTCAAAAATTGGATTCGGATTAATTTGATTTCTTACTTCATCCATAAATTCCCTATTTTGTATGTCATATTCATAGGATGAAAGTATAACAACATTATTAAGTCCTAAATCAATGAAAATACCAACATACATTGGATTATGACTTAAAGCTATGTTGAATACTGCTCGAAGCCTTAAATTTAAGGCATTTAAGGAACTAGGAACCGCGTCAATTACTATTAAATGTCTTCTATCAATGATTTGAGGATTGTTCAATAGTCTAACGGCCCTATCAAAGTCTGTAGTGTAAAGGATTAATTGATTATGAACTACATTTATACTAGTTCCCGCAAAAATGTTGTTATTTAGTAATTCTTTTACATCTTCACTCAAAGCCATCAAATTTGTCTCAGTATCTAATAACCTGCGCATTTGGTTATCTGGTACGTTCCATAACTCCGCTAATGGTTCGTTCTGAGCTCGAATTGTCGGATATCTTTGCAATATAAAAATAAATAATAAAATTATTAAAAGGTGACTGTTTTCCATAATTGCATTGGTTTATGACTAAGAAAACATAAACGTTTTGTAGATTGGTGCCTAATAATTATTTCTCTAAGATTTAAATTTAAAATTTAAAAATACTATTGTATATGTAAAATAATCTTTGTTGTTCCATTAACCATTTTTTAAATTTAAATGAAGTAAATAAAGTACGTCCCAAAAAAATTTTAAAGGGAAAATGATTCATAAATAAAATTATTTACTATATATAGTTTTATAATCTATCAAAAAGAAAAAATCTTATTAAAGGTGTAGTGCATGTAGCTATAATTTTCCTTACAAATCGGGCTTTATATTGAAACCAAAAATATGTCACTAATAAAACCTTTTACTTTTAAGGCTAATCTTTACCAAATTTTGGCAGTATATATATTCAAATCTTAGAACTCGTATCATTTTTAAAAAAATTACCATTGTTATTGCCTTAACTCTTCAAGGTTGCACCAAATCTGACTAGATTACACGATCTAAATAATATATGAATCATCACCTAACTTCAATTGAAAATAAAGGGAGCCTTAAAACTATATAAAAAGGCTTGTATAGAATTTGTATAATATTTGTGTTAGACGTATGAAAAATATCTAAAAAAGTGCCATTCTGTCTGATTTTTTGTCTAATTTTATTTTATTTCAAATAAAACAAATATTAGACCAAATAAGACAGAATGTCACTTTTTTATATCATTTTCACACGTCTAACACAAATATTATACAAATTCTATACAACCCTTTTTTATAGGGCTATCTATATTACTAAAAAATTGGACTGTTGCACAAAATTCGGATATTGCATATTTGTGTAACATTCATGCGAAATGGGATCCCGTACCGAAATTTATCCGAATCTTGCAAAAATTTGATTGCCATCAGCCAAGACTACATAAAGCTAGTGTTCCAGTTGTTTCAAATGAGTGCAATCAAGGAAAAACATGTAATTACGTGATAGGTTTTCCCAAGACGGTACTCAGAAAACAAACTGGTCACAAAATACAATTGAAAGTCTAATAACATGTTTTCCCTTGATGGTATTCATATTTTCAGTAACCTCATCGATAAGTTATCGAATTTGTAGAAACAACTGTAATGCAGATCTAACAATTCCATATATAGTCCCGATGATCCCTTTATATTAGATAATGGTCTCTGCAATATTCACATAACGTTTTTGTAGCGTTTATTCCATACCCTATAACCCGTCGTATATTGACGGGCTCTAATACTAATATCTATGTTAAAAAAATTTGGATTGTTGCAGCATGGGAATCAGACATTGCATATTTCGTATAACATTCGTGCGCGTAACGGATGAATTTTTTACGATCAATGTGTCCTGTCCTATAAAAAAAAGTTTGTTCAGCATTGCCCGAAAAAATGTATGGAATGGAGTCGATTTTTCAGAATGCCAATACGATATTGTACAATTTTTGTACTGTGATGTAACAAAAGAAATTTTTGGGTTGACAACATTAGGTATAAACATTGTACAAAATCGGTCAGTATACGGAATGTTCGGAAAATCGACTCCATTCCGAACATTTTTTTGAACAAAAACAGAATGACTTTAGAATATTTTTAGAACATTGCCAACAAAATTTGAGCAAAATTTTTTTATAGGACTGTATCAAAATGATATTAAGTTTGGTATGGTGAGCAGATCATTATAGTACAGGTCAAAATTAAAAACCATACTGTACTGATCAGCTATAATTCTTAACTTAATGGTAATATATATGGGGTGCATCAAACTAAAACACGGCTTATGGCATTTTTTGCATAAATGAGTTAACCATACGGTCGTATAAAGTAGACATTCTTCTAGATAATTTGATATCTAAAATGTTGATTTACATAATAAAATTTTTGTCGATGCCTTCTTTTATAAATCTCATATATGGTTAGCCGTGATCTAAAATTAGAATTCCTTGCTGCAGAGTCATAGAAATGCATCTGTGTGATTGGCTAACTGATGTCGATCCAACAGGTTATATTAATAATAGATCGTCATTGTTATTGTTACACGAAATTTTAAACGTGATTTCTCAAAATTTAAAAAAAGCCATAAGCCGTGTTTTAGTTTGATGCGCCCCATATAACACCGAATCAGCATGGTACGAATTCTAAAATTCGGTCCGTACTATACTGATCAACTCCTGATATGCAAAATACCCTGCCGAAATTCATCATCCAAATCTTGCAAAAACTTAATTTAATTTCTGGTAGCAAAGTGAGTGTTCCAGCTGCATTCATAATTTCCAGTAACCGAATCTTTAAGTTAGGCCACGCAAAGTTAATTTTTCGTTTTGCATAACCCGCCGACCCAATTTTTCCAAAAAAATTTTTTTTTTTTTAAATTCCTATTGTTCCAATTATTCCATTTTTGCCATTTAATTTTTTCTCCGGTGTCACCCGGTGATGACCTTAATTTTCCGGAAGTACCCGATAGGTCCGAAAAAAAATTCGAAATTTTCTGATTCCATGTTATGCAAACCGAAGAATTAACTTTGCGTAACCTTAGATGTGAACATGAATTAATTTAG